CTTCTCATTGTCATGTCCATGCTTGAAGTGATGTTCCGGATCTTACTTAGTTGATCTCTTCTCTATGTGCATGTGCTTTCCATTAGTTCTAGCTTCTCATTGGCATGTCCATGCTTGGATTGATGTTCCAGATCTTACTTAGTTGATCTCTTCTCTATGTGCATGTGCTTTCCATCAGTTCTAGCTTCTCGTTGTCATGTTCATGCTTGATGTGAAGTTTCGAATCTTACTTAGATGATCTCTCTTCTATGTGCATGTGCTCCTCACTAGCTCTAACTTCTCATTGTCATAGTCATGATTGGTGTGAAGTTCCGGATCTTACTTGGTTGATCTTTCCTCCATGTGTGTGTACTTTCACTAAGTTCTAGCTTCTCATTGTCATATTTAGATGTGTTGTGATGTTCCGGATTCCTACTTAGTTGATCTTTCCCCCATGTGCAAGTGCTTTCCACAACTTCTAGCTCCTCATTTTCATGTTCATTGTGATGTTCCGGTTCCTATTTGGTTGATCTTTCCTTTATATGTATGTGTTTTTCACTAGTCTAACTTCTCATTGTCAAGTTCATGTATGATGAAGTGTTCCAAGACATACTTATTCGATCTTTCACTATGGAATGGGTGACCGACATTTGGCTGCTCCCACGTGGAATTGATTTGATTAGGATTATAAGTTCTTCTTCTCTCTCTCTCTCTCTCTCTCTCTCTCTCTCTCTCTCTCTCTCTCTCTCTTCTACTCCGCCCTTCCCCTTCCTCTTCGCCTTGCCCTCTCTCTCGCTCTCCCTTCCCCTCGCTTGGCATATGATTAACCATTCTCCTCTCACTTAGTACATTGCCAGGGTGCAAACGATAAGAAGAGATCAGACCTCACTTGGTGGAAAAAGAGGGCAAGGGGAGGGAAGCTGGTCCCTTGTGCCACCAAGAAGGCAAAGAGAAAAGACGTTGGAAAAGTGAGAAAGGACGAGATCCGGAGAAAGTGAAAGTTAAAGCAAGGTCAGTTTGACTCAACCATTTCGCTGACTGCATGACTATGAGAAGAGAATGGGCTGATTGAGCAACGAAAGAGAGCAAAGAGCAGCCAAAGAGTTTGAAAAGATAGGCATGCGGGAAGGGCTATGTGTTGACCCCCGACGGGGGATTGTATGGATCTTTGCTTTGTGTGGGATTGTGCAGGTGAGTGATGGCTAAGGATGCCTTGAGCGGGATAGGGCCGGGAGGAACCGGGCACCAAGAGGGAAAGGGAAGGGGGACAAAGGGGCTACGGGACCCTTAGCGTAAAACCGGACCATGGAAATTACCTTTTGCTTTTGAGGCTTGGAGGAGTGCAATCTTGCTAAGGGAAACGTGATGATGTGAGTGCATGCATACAAAGGCCCCGAAAAGATTAAGGGGCCTGCATCAATGGAGTTGATTGAGATATATGAGGCCAACCGGTGCGTAGAGGCGAGGGGTAGGACGGCTTCACCGCGCCCCAATGATGCCGTAGGGACACAAGGTTTAGGGAAATGGTGCGCGACCTAAGGATGACGCTTAGCCTGCGCACAAAAGAAGAAGAACTCTCAAAGAACCCCTGGACTGCCTGCGTATTGGAAGGAGCAATTGCTTGAGAACACAAGAAGGAATCGAAAAAAATTCAGTGCTACGGAATGACCAGCGAGATTACCACCCGGCGTGAGGGTTGAGCTACATCCCCAATGTCAAAATCCCTCTCGCGCGATGGCCCACCCCCATCCATCTCAAAGCACTAGGTGGGGGTGACCCTGGGACGAACGGCCCGCGCCCTGAGCATGAGTGTGGGCGGGCCGAGCCAACGGGGACCCGCGGTGGGGTCGACTAAGGCTCGAAAGTCTCTTGGGGTTCGGCCCTACACAGCCGAAGAGTTTATCAAGCTCTATTGTCTGTCTCTATGTTCTCTCTCTCTCTCTTTCTCTCTCTCTCTTTCTCTTTGTGTTTGTCCCTCTTTCTGTCGTCCCTTGGCATACATTTCTCCTGTCTCGATAATACAGCACACTGTGTCTGCATGCAGTTCTTCCCCCCCCGTCGAGCTTGCCGCATCGAACCGGTATATCGCGAGACACTGATTTGTAGCTCTATTGTCTGTTTCTATGTTCTTTTTTTTTTCTCTCTCTCTCTCTTTCTCTCTCTCTCTCTCTCTCTCTCTCTCTCTCTCTCTCTCTCTCTCTCTCTTTGTCTTTCTTTCTCTCTGTCTCTCATCTCTTTACACCCCGGTTTTTGTTGCAGCCATTATATATGTATACAATGCACTGTAGTGATGTGGAATATTTATCGTGTAGGCGGCCTTGAACTTGGAGAAGTGTAACGGCTCGGCGAACGATGTCAGCTCTGAAAGTGGGAAATGGAGGGAGGGATCGTTGTGTTTCTTGATGGTGGACGAAGATAAGGTCGTTGAGGTACTCCCATGTTCGAGGTGGGTGGGGATGTTGTAGATGTGGAGGGTATGGCGAGACGCGAGAAGGTCATGAATGAGGGCGGTCAATCTTGTCGTGCCTCAGGGTTCCAGTGGAAGCCACCACATCGGGTCGGCGTAATGAGGTGCATGGGGTTGCAACGGTGATTGGTGTGGTGGTGGGGCGTTTGCAATGAAAGAGTGTCTATGGTGTGCGGTGGTGATACGCTCATGTTGGTAGTGTGGGCGAGGTGTTCTTGGAGAATGAGTACGGCCGTAGTCATCGTTGATGAGCTTGAGAAGGAACATTTTCGCACGTTGGAATTGGATGTTGATGTTGCTAGAGGGGTCAGGGCGTTGTAGGGATTGCATTCGGTTGTGTTTGTAGAGGGCGAAGAAATCGTCGAGATGTGGCGAAAAGGCAGCATGATTAGTTGTAAGGAAGTCCTCCCATAGTATTTGGGTGATGATGTGTTCGATGTTGTCTTTGGACAGTAGTCGGAGCCATTCATCCCATCTGACACATGTGGTTCCGGAGGCGAGATGGGGAGAGGTGGAAAGATTGGGCAGAGGAGCAGCTGTTGTGGAGAGAACTGTTGAAGGTGTGTGGGCAGGCGCTAGTGTTGTTGCAGGGAGCGGAAGCTATGCGAGAATATCATCATTGAGGGCAATTTGCGATAAAGCCGCCAATGATGTTTGCGGTGAGGTAGTTGTAGCTGTGAGAAGGGTTCTCGCAGAAGTGGAAGTGCTGGCAGTTGTTGATGTCGATGCAGTTGTCAGTGTTGTTGCAGGGCTATTCGTGAGAAGAGTTGTTGCAGAAGCGGAAGCGGTGGCAGTTGTCGATGTCAATGCAGTTGTGCTTGTAGTTGTTGTTGTAGCCATTGTTGTAGATTTGGGAGATGAAGCTGTCGATGACGATGGCTTCGATTTCTTTGGTGTTCGCTTGTCTTGGTCGAGACCTGCAGGAAAAGCGCAAAAGAGAGTGTGGGCAAAATTCAGAACGGGAAATTAAGTTAGAACTTCTTTATAGATTATATTAGCAGTTCGGCTAGTGTTCGCAGGGGGAGAGAAGCGGATGTGTGTTGGGTCACCCACCCTTGATGCAACTACGTAAAGTTGGCCATTTGCAAATGGTGTTTGTTGGAGATCGACACCAGCATGCTTAATTGATTGACCTTGGGACTTATTTATCGTGATTGGGAAAGCAGGTCGAATAGGGAATTGGCGTCTTTGCCAAGGGAAAGGGTGAGTTTGATCAGTTACCGTTAGAAGAATGCATGGGAGGAGAACAGTTTGGAAGGGAGGATGCGGGCGTGCGAAAGTCTGTTGTTCGTGATCGAATCAATTATCAATCTTGTGCTATTGCATAGGCCGTTACGCATGGCAATGTTTCGTAAGAGAATGACCGGCGCGCCTCGTTTGATGCGAAGGACATGGGGTGGTAGGGAGGGAATGTCAATCACGTTTAGGGCGTCAACAGGTACATCAGGGTAATTGTCGTTGGGGAGGAGAGTGTCAGCGCTAAGGCATGTGATGAAGTCTTCGGGGAATTGTTCCAGGATGATTGAATTGAGTGTAGACACAGTTCTGTTTTTCGGGGCGAGAATGAGACGTTCAGCAAGCCAAAGGGGGTTGTTGGAATTTGTTTGTAGGTACGGGAATGTCCAACCTATAAGTTGTTGCGTGCCTTCATAGAGGCACAAATGAGGAGGGAGTGTGGTTTTATTTTTTTTGGTTGGGGGACGGGGAGACAGGGGGGAGGGCACATTTCTCATACTGAATGATGTAATGGTAATCACAACTGCACCTGTCCTGAGAATGCGCAGGAGTTTCCAACAGCAGCGGATTCTCAGGCTGCCGTGTTTCTCTCTCTCTTTCTCTCTCTCTCTCTCTCTCTCTCTCTCTCTCTCTCTCTCTCTCTCTCTCTCTCTCTCTCTCTCTCTTTCTCTTTCTCTTGGGTTCTTGTTTTTTTGTTTAAAAAAAGAAAAAATCTAAGGGGAAAATTGGAATGGAAAGCAATGATTATTTTGCAGCTAGGCTACCAGAGTGGCCCGGGGTCACTTGCCCGGCCGGGCCAAAAACAATTAAAAAAAAAAAAAAAAAAACAATTTTATTTTTCCCCCTAAATTTGGTGCATAATTTCGATGTGACCCTGAGGCAAAAGTTGTTCAGTTTATTTTTCTGCATAACATAGTTTTTTTTTCGGATGTTTTTGGTTTTTTTTTTTTTTTTTTTTTTTTTTT